TGTCTTTCTTGGGTAAATGTTCTATAAGCTCTTGAGAAGAATGTGTGTCCTTCTGAAGCTGGCTAAAAATTCTTGCAGACTTTCTGTATACTTGTTCTATCAATTACTGAGAGACGTGGGAATCCACTGTTTCCACTGTTTCTCTTTGCATTTCTAAGTCTTTGCTTGATATATTTTGAAGCTCTGTTATTGGGTACATAAATATTTAGAATTGTTATGTCCTTTCAATGAACTGATACCTTTATTTTTATGAAAAGACTTTATTTTTATATTTTTATAATACTTTATTTCCTGGTAATGTTCCTACCCTAAAATTTGCTTTTCCTTATAGTAATACTAGAGGCCCGTGCACAGATTCATGCACTGGTGGGGTCCCTTGACCTGGCCTATGTCCTCTGGCAATATGGGACCCCTCTGGGGATGTTGGACTGCCAGTTTCGACCCAATCCTCATAGGCCGAGGGACCCCACCGGTTTATGAATCCATGCACCAGGCCTCTAGTATGAATATCAGATCTTTGATTAATCTCTTCCTGCCCTCCCCCCTCCCCTCTGAGATTCATCAGTCTGTTCCATGTTTCTGTGCATTGAGCGTCTGCCCCCTGGTGGTCAGTGCACATTATAGCTACTGGTCAAACATTCAGTTAGGCTGCTATATAATCAGTCCAGCTTTCTTTCTTTCTTTCTTTCTTTCTTTCTTTCTTTCTTTCTTTCTTTCTTTCTTTCTTTCTTTCTTTTTTTAAATATATATTTTCTTGATTTTTCACAGAGAGGAAGAGAGAGGGATAGAGAGTCAGAAATATTGATGAGAGAGAATCATCAATCAGTTGCCTCTTGCACACCCCCTACTGGGGATGTGCCGGCAACCAAGGTACATGCCCTTGACCAGAATCGAACCTGGGACCCTTCAGTCTGCAGGCCGACGCTCTATCCACTGAGCCAAACCGGTTTCAGCCCAGCTTTCTTTTTATGGTGAATCTTCTCTTAATGTGTTTTTTAACCTATTTGTGTCCTTGTATTTCAAATGGGCTCCTTTTTAAAAATATATTTTTTTTTTATTGATTTCAGAGAGGGAGGGAAAGAGAGAAACATCAATGATGAGAGAGAGTAATTGATCAACTGTCTCCTGCACGCCCCCTACTGGGGATTGAGCCCAGAACCCAAACATGTGCCCTGACCAGGAACAGAACCATGGCCTCCTGGTTCATAGGTCGATGCTCAACCACTAGCCACAACAACTGAGCTCAAATGGACTTCTTATAAGCAGCATTTAATTCGCTGCACTGAAAACCTAGGCTAGCTTTTCCATTCAGTCTGGCAATCTTTGCCTTTTAAAAAATATATATATTTTATTGTTTTTTTTACAGTGAGGAAGGGGGAGAGATAGAGTTAGAAACATCAATGACAGAGAAACATTGATCAGCTGCTTCCTGCATACTATCCACTGGGGATGTGCCCACAACTAAGGTACATGCCCTTGACTGGTCTGCAGGCCGATGCTCTATCCACTGAGCCAAATCAGTTAGGACCAATCTTTGCCTTTTAATTAGAATGTTTTAAACCACTTACATGTAATGCGATTATTTATAAGGCTGCGTGGGTTTCAATCTTCTACATTGCTATTGGTTTTCTATTTGTCTCATCTGTTCTTTGTTCCTCTTTTCATTTTTCTGCCTTATCTTGCGTTGGGTGTTCTTTATGATTCAATTATATCTCCCTAGTGTCTTAATAGCTATAACTGTTTTATTTTAGAGGTTGCTATAGGGTTTCCAGTATTGTCTTTAATTGATCTCAGTCAACCTTTGGGTTGTATCTCATCATCATGTTTAATAGAAAAACGTTACAAGTGTTTCTGCTACGGCCCCTGCCTGCATTTGTACTACTGTTGTCATGCATTTCACTTCTGTGTATGTCATGGGTCCCACAAAACATTGTTATTATTTTTGCTTTAAGTTGTCCATTATCTTTTAAAATAATTTAAATAAGAGAACAATCTCTACTTTTACCCACATAGTTACTTTTTCTGGCTGCCTCAGTCCTTCCTGTGGGTCAGACTTCCACCAGCTGCTGCTGGGAGGATCCCTGGCACAGTTCCTATATAGCAGGTTGCATGTGATGTTTTAGTTTTTATATGTCTGTAGAAGTCCTCAATTTTAAAATACATTTTGAAATATATATCACTGAGTAAAGATTCTATGTAAGATTCCCCCCCTTCAGTATTTGAAAGGTGTCTTCTGGCTTGCTTGTTTTGCTTCCTACAAGAAATCTCATCATTTCCTTTGTCCTTTGTATGTCTTATTTTCTCTTGGGCTGCTTTAAGCCAGTACTAGTGCGAGATTCTACATGGATGCAATACAGGCAGGGCCATAGCAGAAACTGTGTTCACTTTGAAGAATGTCTTTTTAGACACAGGTGCGTGTGGTGAGAGGCCCACCTGCCCAGGTATGGAGCCCCCTGGCCCAAATCAGGAGCTTTTGTGTGGCTCTGGGTCCTGGTCCCTTTCAAGGGATCACTTTTACTCAATATTCAACTTAACAACTTATAAAGGTTCTGAGACATTCTACTGAGTGTTGGAAGAATGCTCCATCCTGAAGCTGGAAGGGATTTAAGGTCTCATGTCAAACTTGTTTGATTTAAACTTGTTTATCTTAAAAAATGGAGGCAGGCTCAGAAGTGACCCCTGCAAGTAATTTATTAACACATATGACTACAACTTTTTAAAAGGAGCTATGATTAAACATTTATTTTAAAAGAATGTGACTTCAACAGATACATGACAAGACTGGTCAATGTATAATGGGATTTTCAACCTGGAAAAAGTGACTGAAAGGCCACTGGAAGCTTTGAGACTCTTCAGAAACAGAACACAGTGCCTCTGGCCTGAATGCCAGCCCTCAGGGACTTCCCAATGACCACCTAGAAACCTGTGTTTGCCTGGCTGGTGTAGCTCAGTGATTGAGTGTTGACCTATGAACCAGAAAGTCAAGGTTCAATTCCAGGTTGGGGCTCATGTCCTGAGTTGTGGGCTCCATCCTGTGTGGGGTGTGCAGGAAGCAGCCAATCAACATTTCTTTCTCATATTTTATTGATCTCAATCCCTCTCTGAGATCAATAAAATACATACATTGCTGCCAGGCTCATTAGGTTCCTGCACTGTAAGAACTTTGCACAACCTGTTGGCAAAGCAATAGTCTTCCTAACATCTATTTCATAAGGAAACTGAAAACGAAAGAGCAGCAACAATCTCTAGAAAACTTCCTGTCTGCCAAGTGTTAGGCTTCAAGTGCAAGGAGTAAGTTCTAGGACATCACTGCTGTGGGGGCTGGGCCCAGGCGCTGAGAGCATGAGGCCTGTCTTGAATTGGCACCAGGTCAGCAGAGCCCTCAGGCCCAGCCAGGTGGTCATGGAGATCCTTTACTCAGAGCCGTATTCGTGTTCCATACGGGAGGATGCGACGAACTCTCAGAAAAGCCTCACTCCCCCAAAGAAAACACATTATGTAAAACTTGTGGGTGTGAGAGGGCCAGCCCATTAGGAGGCCCAATCTTCATAAGTACTTTCCGTGCAGGTGACCAGTCTCAGAGACTGATGATGAGACCCTGGATACACCTCAGTGTTCTGATGATAAAACTAAAAACGGGTAACTTGAAACCAGTGTTCTTTCAAATCATCGAGGGAGGCACACACGCCTTAACTAAAACATGCTAATCCCTGACAAGCTTGACAACGTGGAATGAGTGGGAAGAACACAGGCTCTCCAAGCAGGGCCCTCACACACAAAGCAAGAAGACTGAAGTCCAAGCTTGACTCAAGTGCCACTGGGGCTGAGATACTGATGTTCTTGTTGCAAGCATGGACAGCGATCTGCTGTGCTCACACACCTGGACACATACACTTTGAAAACATATCCTCAATAATGCAATTTCACTGAAAAAATAACCAGATTACCCCCAAATCTGTGGCTGCTCTCTGCTTCACCTGAGCTATTTCTCTACATTAACCTAGGGCATTTCTGTAACCAAAACACCATCAATCACGACCGTATAATAATTTAGTAATTTTGCCGAAACCGGTATGGCTCAGTGGTAGAGCGTCGGTCTGCGGATTGAAGGGTCCCGAGTTCGATTCCGGTCAAGGACATGTACCTTGGTTGCGGGCATATCCCCAGTAGGGGGTGTGTAAGAGGCAGCTGGTCAATGTTTCTCTCTCATCGACGTTTCTAGCTCTCTATCTCTCTCTCTTCCTCTCTGTAAAAATCAATAAAATATATATTTTTAAAATAATAATAATAATTTAGTAATTTAGTCTTCAATACCAAATATAAATACTTAAGAACATTCACAACACTAACGTTAGGTCTTTACATTTGTTCTTTTAGCAAACACAAATGAACCCACATCATAAGTTCATCTCTGGGAACCAGATAAATGAAAGTATCTGAAAGTATCTGTAGTAGGTCAAGAAACTGTTACAGCCAGAGAAATTTATTTTAATATAGAAACATACATACATTAAGCTTTAAAATAGTCAAGTTTTAAACAAAAAGGAAAAAAGCCATTTGATCCCAGAGTCTGTACAGCATGGATTTAGAGGCATTTGAATTTCACGTAAGGAGCACTTACAGACAACTGGAGGTGGAAACCTGCATCTCCCTGCCTCTGGAGTCCGCCAGGTCGGGGGACACTGGTGATGGTGATGGCATAGCCACTGCCGACACTGGACGCTCCTGTGCTGAGAGCCACAACGGCCAAGGATGACCACGAGCGTCCAACATCTCAGTGACCGAGACAAATGTTTTCACGCTGGGGACACTGTAAGTGAAGCCAGCGCCTCTCAAACACCTCGTGACTGGACTCAGGAGACGTATGAGAAATGCTCAGAGGTTTTGGCAATGTAGAAGGTGTACCGTCCAGGAATTCACCAGAAGCATTCAAAAATACTCAGTCAGCTGACCATCCAAGATGTGCTGCATAGTGGCTCGAGGGTGGCCTAGGCCAGGGCTCACTGTGAGTGGGGTTTCTGCTCCTCGTAGGATTCCCCATATTCGTTGACTCTGCTCCTATCGACAGGGTAGAGCCTGCAACGATACGACGATGCTATACTGCTTTTGAAGGGAGGAAGCACATGCCCTTGAGCCCAATAATAAAAAATCAAATGTCTTATAAATGACAAAAAAAATAAAATAAAATTGTCAGAAGTTTACTGCATTAGAGAAATTTGGGGGTTCACTTTGTGCCCTCCTATTGATATTTTATTTTTAAAATTTATTTTAAATATATTTTATTGATTTCAAAGAGGAAGGGAAAGGTGAGAAATAGAAACATCAATGATGAAAGAGAATCATCGATTGGCTGATTCCTGCACGCCCCCTACTGTGGATCAAGTCTGCAACCTGGGCATGTGTCCTTGATTGGAATTGAACCTGAGACCCTTCAGTCCGCAGTCTGATGCTCTATCCACTGAGCCAAACCAGCTAGTGCCTACTGATATTTTTAAATGGTCAGACTAGAGCTCTGTGCTCCAGGCTGATCACAGGACAAGGACAGCTGTGCCCAAATGGAAGCTGGGGCTGGAACACCACACCCAGTGAAGTCCATCATCCAGGGACTGGTCCCAGCTCCTAAAGGCTGGGGCAGCGACCTCCTTTATGTCACACCAAATTCGACTATGGAGATACGAGCTCGCAGTGGCTGATCCTGTCATTTAGACAGAACAAGCACTTCTATACCAAGAGACAGAATAATCTCTTCCACTGCCTACCACTGGCAACCAGAATGCAAGCTTGGGCAACATACAAAGACCATTGCAAGCTGTATCTTTCCCCTCAGGATGGCCAGGTGCACATCAGCAGGAATGGTGAGATTCCCCCTGGCAGTGTGCTTCAGAGACACCACACTCACCATCGCTGGTACAGGTAGATGAGGAACACCACGTCGTCCCTGAAACAGGCCAGGCGATGGGAGGTGGGCATGGTGATGATGAAGGCGAAGACATCATCAATGAAGGTGTTGAAAGCCTGTGCCAGGTGGGAGAGTGGATAGGTAAGGAACGGACTGTGGGGACTCACCTGGAGATGCCCAACTACCTGAACCCTGTTCATACTCACAACACGAGTCAGCAAATCATAGCAGACATACCATGGGCAACAAAGACTCTTATAGTGACAATAAAAACAAAATGAGCAGTGAAGGCTCTGGATTGGCCACAACATACCCAGACAGCCCTCAGGGCAGCCCGACCTATGGAATGATGGGCTACCCTCTGGGAAGCAGCCACTGGGTCAAGGGTGTCTAATATTTTTTTAATGAAAATTTCAATTTATTTATTGATTTTATGAGAGGAAGGAGAGGGAAACATTAATTTTATTGCTCCACTTATTTTATGCATTCGTTAATTGATTCATGTATGCGCCCTGACTAGGGATCAAATCCGCAATCTTGGCATATCAGGACGATGCTCTAACCAACTGAGCTACCCAGCCAGGGCCTGGGTGCTCGTTTTGATCCATGTTGTCAAGTAGCATGGCATTTAATTCAAGCAAATGTATTCTGTTGCTCTGAGAGAGCTGCTCTCTTTTAAAGTCATTGCTGGGGTTCTCGTGTTTAAAGGAGATGCCCAACTGTGCCAGAAATGTGGCCTCGTAACACACAGCGCCTCCTGCAGGCAGAACACTGACCTTGTATGTGAAAGCCTTCCAGGGCAGGTGGGCCACCGACTTCATCTGGGGACAAGGAGACATGAGCAGGTCAGGGACAGGCTTCACAGAGCACATGGGAGACTGTCCAGCTGGGGATGTGTCTTACCTTGTAGTTCACAAAGAGCTGGGGCAGCATGAAGAGGAAGCCAAAGGCGTACACCCCTGGGGAGACAAGACATGGCTGAGAGCATGCATGGACTATGCCATCCTGACTGCCCCAGCAGAGTGACTTCAGAGAACAACATCCTTTTCTTCAATCGCCATAAGTCTCCCCCACTGGGGCCAAGTAGTGCTGGGGGCTGTGAAGACAGGGTGCCCATCCCATATGGTCCCCTCAGGATTATGGCCAGGTTTGAGACCCACACTCAGTGAACATGGCATACTGGGAGCCCATCCCCTCTGCTCTGTGCCCTTAACCATCTGCAGAGACCCAGTGCTGTGGTCAGGGCCAGCCTCTGGGCTGGCAGGCCCCACGCAGAGCTCCATGCTGTAGAGCTGCGGCTGTAGTTGCCCTAAGGAATCAGATGTTAAGAACAGTGCTGTTTCCTCTGCAGGTTTTCATGCAGAGGAAACAGACCTCTCAAGGTTCTAGTCCTGGGAAGCCTGTGTGGGACTCTCGTAGGCAAATGGGCTTCCTGAGGCCCAGCCAAGTGCACAGGGCCTGGTAGGGTAACCTCAAGTCACAGGAACAATGAAAAGGTACCTGCTATATATGCCGTTACCAGCCGTTACCAGAACAGAAAACCACATGACTTACCATTGACGAAGCTGTTGATTAACCAGGAGTACCAACTGAAAAGGAAGAGAGCTGTCACTGTGAAAGGCTCAACTTCCTCTCATCAGTCTCTGTTTAAACTGAACCAATTCTTTTGTGGGAACCCTCTGTAAACACCAAGCTCTCCCAGGGACCCGTAACAAGCTGTGGTTATAGGTTCCTGAAGATATTCTGCACACTGGAGGCCCTGGACCCTGGTCAGATCCCAGATGCTGCAGGGGTGGGAGACTCTACACCAAGCATGTCAGACTCATGGCTGGCGGGCTGAGAGTTTGACATGCTTTCTCTACAATGACAGATATTGTCCTTCTCAATGGAAAAATCCCAAGCCTCTCCCAAACCCCGAACGCAGCAGCCACACACTGCTACTAGGTTTCCCCTTATCAAAAGCATCCAACTTCACTTAGACACCAGTGCTATGGGTGCCCACCTCTATGTGCTTGCTGATCTGGAAAAGGGGAATGGGGACACCCCCATTTCAGCTGTGTCTCAAGTCTAAGGTTACTCCCATGAGCGCTCCCAACCCCTGATATTCTGCTTTCCACACTGCAGATGAGACAGAGTCACAGAATTGGCTAGTCCATAGTCCCCACAATGGCAGGCAGACACAGAAGGAGGCTGAGGGGCATGGTCTGCATGGCTGCCAGAATAACTGGTGACAGTGTGGCAGGGGAACTCCTAGTGGTGCCTGTACCTCTTATACTTTATGTTCAGCAGTGAGTAGACGGCGCCCCCGATGCACAGAGGGTAGAGCAGGTATGATAGGTACTTCATGGCCTGCAGGGAGCAGAGTACTTCCCGTTAGAGCCCAATACTCAAACCTCTTAATGTGCACTTCATGCAACCAACTCACAAGGATGGAAAATAAACAAACAGGACAAGAAACTGGCATGTGTGGGCAGCTGTCTGACCTGTGTGATGTTGTAATGGAGGACACATCAGTGTACATTTATCAAATCTACAGAACTCACAGCACCCACAGCTCACTGATGTAGACAGTGATGTCAATAACATATTGGCTCACTCAAAACAAACTAGCTTATAACAGATCAGTGAATAAATGTGGTGGATAAAAATCTGAAGAAATGCTCCTAGGTTTGTATCAAGACTGCTATCTAAGTCAACGCAGCTTTATCCTTGAGTTTATTCTGATTTGGATTCTATCATAGCCCCAAGAAAAGTTGGGATGCAGGCTGATGTTTATTAGCCAATAAACACATCCATTCCTATATGGGACATGGTGTATGGTCACACTGCAAACTGCTACTCCCTTACAGTAGCCTCAGCACATGGGCCTTCCTGTGGAGTCGCTCAGGTCCAAAGTGACAGAGCGAGCTCACAGCAACCCCAGCAAACCCCCAGGGGAAAAATCTGCTTATGAAAAATGTCCTGGGAGACAGGCATGAGGTCATGTGCAAGGATCCAGAAACAGGGAGAAGACACCTGCTGGCCCCTTTTCCAAGCCAGAAAACCCTGGGATCATGACCACTCTGAGGAGATGGTCTTCCTGTGCTGAACATCAAGTCAGGTGCTCATGACTTGTCTGCTGCACATCATGCTACCCCTTCCCCCCCACCCCGCCCACCTGCTGCTCACCTGAGTGTCATACTCCTCGGTTTTCCTCTCAGACTCACTGTAGGCGCCAAACTGTTGTAAAAATCAATACAATCATGTCAACTAAGTGACTTAAGGCAGGTGTCTGAGTATGACTTTGCTAGGGGTGAAGGGGTGATAGGGCTGTGTGCTGATCGGCAGAGATGCCTGGCCTGGCCACACTGTGTGAGGTACGACCCCTCCACCAAGGCTGGTCCACCTCCACCAAAGATGGCATGACCACACACCTCCCTCCACCGGGAGGACCAGCAGGCAGAACTTCTGGTCTTCTGGCCTGGACCCTGCACCACATCGTGTGTCCATGTAGCAGAGCAGCCCTGTCCACATGTGTCCCACTCACCAGGCTGCTCCGTTTTTTCCCCTGGTGGTGTTTTCAGTGAAAACACTTGTTCTGTGCAGATACACGGGCAGTACACTTAGATCAGTCAAGGAGACCAGTAAAGGAGTGTTTACCGGCCTAACTTAGAAAACAGTGAACTGCACTATCTGTTGAGTTTCCTGCCGTTGGTCAGTTTGGACCTGGACATGGGAGGGACAAAAACCCCTCAACTGAGGTGTCAAGAGAGCAGTGAGCTTCATGTCTGTAAACCTCAAATGCCATTCAACTCCCAGCCCTGATCTGAGAGGGAAGCTCCTCCGCCCAAAGCTGGGACAAGTCTGGGCTGAGGCTGGCTATTTGGGAAGCTGGCCTGAACTGCCCACAGGAGCATGGGAGCTGACAGACCAGCGTCCCGTCTGGTGTAGAGGCAGCTTGCCTTTAGTGCAGGCACTGCTCAGTCTGTGATTGGGATGTCTCATGTGAATTAGCTGTGATCAAGGAGCCAACGCTGGCTCTGCCGAAGGAGGTGCTCCATGTGCCAGAGGGCTGTCCAGTCATCACAGGACAGTCGCATGCTCACAGGGTCCTGCACCTCACTGGGTCAGCTATGAAATGCACCAGCAGACAAGTTGCTGCACATGAACAATGGGAGGTATAGAGGGAAGCAGATGGGTCAACAAGAGGGAAGAAGATAGAACCCCTAGGAACACAGCAAAAACACGCACCTGAAACATGGGCCTGAGGCCTCTCCAAACAACAGTCATTTTCAGAGCCTTTTTCACTTTCCACAGCTGAGGAGAAACAAGAAACAGACATTTATGATTCAAAGAGCAAGGAGATGCCAGAATTCGCCATTTGAACCCTCATGGACCAGGCACCTGCCTGCTCAAGCCCAACTGGGTTAGCTCACAGGCGCAGGCCCTGGGACCTGATCTCTGGCCCACATGCCACCCAGCAGCCTGTCTCCCATGTGGATGCCATCACCACCTATCGGCACTAACAAACCAGTCCTCAGCCTGCTGCCCTCCTCCAGCTATGTGCCCTTGGTTGGCTCACCACACCCTGCCTGCATCTTTAAATTTACCCTGGCACCCTCTTCTGGCACTGGAAGGCCCCAGCCTCCACTCAAGCCCTGTGGTTTTGGGTCTCTCTGGGAGCCATGCCTTACTTGCTGCCTTGCTCTTAGGAGAGGCGTCACGGCCTTAGAGAGAAGTTTCTATACTGCAGTTGTGACCAGTTTCTATACTGCAAATGTGGCTCCGGGAGGGTCCCCAGCTGGCGGCCTTCTTCCACAGGCACTGAGAGCACAGTCCTTGACTTGACAGCCATGTGCAAGGAGGACTGCAACTCGAAGAGCAGGATGTGCAGGCTGCCATCTCCTTCCATTATTCCCCCACAGGGCTCCCTTTCCTGAGCCCCACACAGCAGGGCCAACCTTTGGAGCCCACACCGCATACTTGTGCTTTCAGTGGCATCCAGCATAGCACAAACCACGTGGAACTTTAAACAAGTCAGGATACATTCTGCAATAGATGTGATGAGCTGGGGCCTTTTAATAATAATAAAGGCCACATAAAGGACCTTCTGAATTCTCACTTTGGTAAACACTCGTAGCAGTTACGTCCCTGCCTGCCCATAGAGGTGGCCCCATGTCACTCGGGCAGTTACACAGGTTCTGACTGCACTGAGCACCTGCGCCCAAAGACCATGGCAACTCAGACGATAGCTCACCTCAATGGCGGCTCCGACACCCGCTGGGATCAGGACCAGCAGGCTTGTCTGCTCATCCAGCAGGAACAGGAAGATGACCACAGTGCTGAAGCAGCGCCAGAGCACTGAAGACAGAAGGGGGGGTTGCTGAGGGGGCCACCACCACCCTCATACACACACCTACACGTACAGACCACAAGCACCCACACCCGGCTCACACACACCAGCACATCCACAGCCCCTCTCCCATATACCCAACCCACTCACATATACCTGTATTTGTACAGCCCCACATACACCTGCACATACGCACACCTGTATATACAGAGCGCACCGCACACCTCCACTTGACTAAAAAACACACTTGTACATATACAGCTCACACATGCACATCCCTGCCCCAGCTCCAAACACACACATACGTGCACACACATATGGACCTACAATATTTCTCCCCCCTTGTCCATTAACAGTGAACAGTAGGCCACACGCACTAAGGAAAATGATTAGAAAAGGCTCCAGAATCCAGCAGAAGGCAACCTCAACTACACAAACATGATCAAGTTACACTTGGCAAACACAAACACACAGCAAATACACTGAGAATAATGGATTCTTGACTGGAATTATGACCATTTGCTTTCCTGTAATCAAATTACACTTTCTTGATTTTATACCAATTCTGTGATAAAGACACCTGTCTTTTAAAGCTGTACCCTTTTTCTTTTGAAGTCATGCTTTAGCTCAGATTGGTGTGGCTCAGTTGGTTGAGTGTCATTCCCTGTACTGAAAGGCCACTAGTCTGATGCCCGGTCAGGGCCCATAACTGGGCTGTGGGCTCAGTCTTTAGTAAGGGGCATGCAGGAGGCAGCAGGCCGAAGTTTCTCTCCCTCCCTCTTCCTTCCACTCTCTCTCTAAACTCAATAAATAAAGTAAGTTGTGCTTTAGAAAACACTTAGCTGACTGAAAGTGTCTGACTGCCTTAAGTACTTCTCTCAGCAGTAGCCAGATTTGCAGGGCGTTCACCAGGTGCACTGGCAGGGGGGTGGGGGTTAAGACACCTGTTTGCCTTTCATGGCCACAGACTCAGGAACCCTCCCTCTCCTCTCACCTGAAAATGTTGGGAGCAGGCAGGAGGACTCAGCAGGGGAGGGGCATCCTCTCTGAGGATACCAGAGGACAGGAAAGAAGAATCTGAGACACAGATGACAGGGGTAGGGGGGCACCACAGCATCCCAGACCAGCCACTGGGGAGTGTCATTTCCATGGGAGACAACTCGCCTGGCTGACACAGACGGCACTAGGAACCTCACTGAGATGGGCCCTGGCTGTGTGGCCTCCATGGTCCTCTGTGGACACAGGCTTGCATGACACTCACCGAGATCGTGGAGACAGCTCCCTCCCGGTTATTACCATACATGGACTCTCTGAACAGGAGCAGGGTATGGGGCCTGCAACCAGCATGCATCACAGACAAAGCATGTCACAGTCCATGCTTTGGGAATGGTCAAAAATCCCGAGGGCATCTACCTGCTTTGGTAGACATCCCAATCATGCTCTTCTTTTTCTTCCAGAAACTGATGTCATTTTTAAATGCCAGGAAATCAAACAGAAGCTGAAAGGAAAGAGGACAGAAGTGTGCATTTATCTCCTGTGGGTTGGCAGGTGAACACTGGATGCAGGTGAACCCCATGTATCATGTACCGCACTGTGGTATGCACTGTGGGGTCATCACGACCAGCATCTCCGCCTGCAGTGGCAGGGAGACCACAGGCGCCCAGATGTTCTCCCCTCTCATGGAAACAAAGCACAGTGTGTCTGTCTCAGAAGTGCACAGGCTCATTCTGAGACATAACCTTTTGATAAAAAGTGCTGTTGTCAGCAGCTTTGGAAAGTTTTAGCTGGACTGGCAGCTGAGTCCCAGGCACTCAGAACCAGCTATGGTTCAGGTCCCCAGACCTGTGCTGCCTCACCTTCCCAACTGGACCTGAGTCCAGCACAGCCACCATCCAGTGATGGCTTTCCTCCACAGCCTGGAGACCTTATCTTCAAACAGGGATTCCACTCAGAGGACTGGTGTTTAACGTTGTGATCGCCACAGTAGGGCTCATATAGTCATTAATTCATTTCCACGATAAAGGCCTAGCACTGTGGCCTGGGGAGTCTCAGGTCCATTAGGAACCAAGGGGCTGCCAGGTGGGACACCGCTACACCAACGCCCCAGCTGGGATGGCTGGCGCCCTTGGAACCACTATGCCCACCACTGTTATCACCAACAAGGACTCAGTGACCCACTCACATGAAATGCTGCGACAAAGAAGGTCAACGCTAAGAAATACAAGTTGGTATCAACAAAAATTCCTTTCACTTCGTCAGCATCTTTCTCTGAAAACCCTGAAAAAAAGAAAACGTAATGCAAAATGGGTAATGCCAGCCTTACTTAATGTTACAAAGGTTTCTGAATGTTGTTGGTAGTAAGAATTGAGCAAAATTATGGCATTTCAAATACTATGTTCTGAATAAAGCAAACTTTCAGGTAATCAATAAATTTTCAAAGACAGGACACGAGTGAACCTCTGATTAAAATTACATGGAAGAACCTGCACCACAAGATACGAAAGCTACCAAGTCTGGGTACATATACGGACTTGCATCTACAGGACACTGCCACCCTGGGTCTGGGTTGGCACCCACGGCCTCACCAAACTGCTGCAGGGAGTACACGGCATCCTGCATGTGGATCCAAAAGCGGAGCCTCCCCAGTGAGATCTTGTCGTAGGACACGGTGAGGGGCAGCTCGGTGGTGGAGCGGTTGATGACCTAAGGGAGTGATGACACAGTCGGAACCTGCCCACCAGGGCACGCCCAGCTGCCAGATTCAGACCACTGCACACCCTGGGCTGCACCCTGCACACAGACACTGCACTCTGTCCCCACATTCTGCGCCACTAGTCCGGGCACAGTGGAGGCTGAAGCTTCAGGCCCAGGCCATATGGTTGGTGGGCTTTAGACACTCCTACATCCTGGGCATGATGGTCACACTGAGGCTGACCTTCCCTCCTCCTTCCCTCCCTCCCTCCTCTGGGCCCCAGCACCCATGTGCTCTCCTCTCAGAACCGGGTGGGACTCCTCCTGCACACACTGCCCTGAGCTCTTCCTGAGGAAACTCTGCACATCTCTCTGGACCACAGCCCCTCTGCTCATCCTTCCCAGCACAAGCGGCACCACCACATGCCAGGAACTAAGGACACATGTGCCACTGAACCAAAATAGGCCCCTCTCCTGGAAGGGCTAGAGACAGAATTGCTCTAACCATACCCACAGGCCAAGTGCCCAGCACTGGCAGTCACCCCATCTGGGCTGGCAGAAAGCTCCAGGAAGAGGCAGTATTCAGGCTGGGCTCATGAGGAAGCACGGAATTAAGGGTGGAGGCTGCCACAGGAAGGAAAGCTCAGTCCCACTGTCCAGCAACATACACATCAGTGTCACTGTCCATGCTCACCATGACCCCTCACAGTGAGCCAGGCAACCAGACACCAGGTCCAGCACCGGGCCACCCCATGCAGTGCACCAGCCTCCAGCCAGGAGGGCACCACTGTAAAGGCTCCCATAGCAGGCAGCACCCGACACACCAGTGGCCTTGGTTGTTCTCCAAATATGGCATTCCTTCAGAAAAGCGGCTCCAAGTGAGACAAAGCATTAGTGGCAGAAGGCAGCCTGGGAAAAGCTAGCTGCCTATACACATGACTGTTTCTGTGAACAACAGCATTTTGAACAGCAGGTCTTTTACCAAACCACGCAGTGACCAGGATAATGCAGGTGCTCTGTGGATGCTGCCCAGATCCTTCAGTGGCCAAGCCACAGACTTGTCTCTCCTCACTGTTTCCCAAGTGTTCCCTGCCATCCTTAATTAGGACCTTCTGAAGCCCTGCACGAGGGAGGGCACAGGGACTTGAGGAGGGGATGGCTCAGAAGGACCCCATCGCTGGCCAGGAGCAAACCCAGAGCACACACAGGCCAGGTGAAAGCACACAAGGGCAGGACTGAGGAGGCAGCCACACTTCAAGCCACAAAGTACAGAGGGGAGCGTGCTCACCATGAGGTCCTTCACCCGATTGCTGAGCTGGTCAATGAACAGGATGGGGAGGTAGTGCACGGTCTTCCCAAGCTGGATCCTGGGGTGAAGCAGTTTTCAGTCACTGTGAAGTTTTCTGTCACCTTAGATGACCTGAACACAGCCTCAGACACTGCATTTACCTGAGAAATCCCTCCCAGCACCTTCAGTTGCTTCTGGTTACAACAGTCCCAGGCACACCTTCCCAACGAAAGTAGGGGTCTCATAAGCTAGTCATTGCTGACACACTGGACACCAGAAGATATGTAAATAAACAAGGACCGGACCACACTGTGGAACATCATCCAGGGCGTGAAAACGTGCAAGAGGCCCCTCTGTGCATGGACATGAATAGTCCACTGAGGCAGTAAGAACAAAAATAAAAATCTACCTGCTTTTCATGCTTGGTAGGGGAGGGGCCAGAGGACAGGAGTAAGGGGGCTTTTTATTGAATACTTTCTACACCTTTCTTTCACATTTTGAACTGCGAGTGTATCATGTATTAAAAAATAAGGTTTAAATTTACAAAAGGAAAACCCCTCCTGATAATACCAGAGGAACGACTGATAAATGAATAAGAACACTTATTATACTGGCCATTTATAGATGCCATGTGATGACTTTATAATAGGTCTAACCTAACAATAGCCTCACCAAAGCCTGGAGACTCAGACTAGCCTAAATGGTCATGCTTAACTAATAATGGCAAATAACAGTGACAAAATCTAACAGTTTTATTACTTTTTAAAAAAAATTTATTAATTTTTTTTTTGAGAGAGAGGGGAAGGGAGAGGGAGCGAGGGGAAGAGGGGGAAAGAGGGAGAAACATTGATTTGTTGTTCTACTTATTTATGCACTCATTGGTTGATTCTTGTATGTGCCCTGACCAGGGATTGAACCAGCAACCTTGGCATATCTGGATGATGCTCTAATCAACTGAGCTATCCATCAGGGCCAAAAATTAATTTTAAATAGTAAATGAGTCACATTAAAACTGACCATGGTGCCCCTAACAAAGATAGTCAGAAAGCAGGCAGGACAAAACTCAAGTGACATGGTCTCATTCGGTGCTCTCATTTTCTCTCCAAGGGAAGCCTTTGCCAAGAACAAAGTGCAGGCCCTGCCCAGTTTTCTCAGTGGTTAAAACATCTCAGCCCTAGGACTGAAGGGTCTTGAGCCAAATTCCCAGTCAAGGGCACATACCTTGGTTGCAGGTTTGAACCCTGACCCCGGTGGAGTTTTGCTGGAGGCAACCAGTTGATGTGTTTCTCTCACATTGGTGTTTTTCCGTCTCTCTCTTCCTACCCCTTCCCCTCCTTCCCCCCAAACGCCTTCCACTCCCTTTCTATAGATCAACAGAAAAAATATCCTTGGGTGAGGATTTAAAAAAAAACAAAGGGCAGGATGACTCTCAATTTCATTCATTCCAATGCTCTGATGGCAATCTTAGTCAGCAAGACTGCCCAGAGAAAAGAGACAAAGCTTGAGGGTGTCCAGGCAGGACCTTACGCTCTTCTGGGCCTCCCATACCAGGGACAACTCCAAGATGCAGGTGTGTCCAGCCGGTGTGGGTTAGTGGTTCAATTCCCAGTCAGGTCACATGCCCGGTTATGAGTTTGATCCCCAGTGTGGGGCATTCAGAGGCAGCCGATCAATAATTCTCTACCATTGTTGTTTCTATCCCTCTCCCTTCCCCTTTTTGAAATAAATAAAAACATATTAAAAAAAAATGCAGGTGACCAATCCATTTTTGGATTTTGGTGGGCCACTATCCTGAGGGGCTTCCTCCAGCCCTACACCATTGTGGTCGCCCCCTCTGCTGTCAGCTCAGGGCAAATTGATGCTAAAGCCAGGCAAGTAAGCCTCAGTCGCCGGTTAGACTAATGCACTTACATCTTCATGTATCGATGCACATCGGCAGGTAGGGAGGACCCGTCAAAGACAAAGTCATCCACCATCACATTCAGGGTCAATCTTGGTCTCCAGTGAGAAACAGGTTCATCCAGGGCACTCATCGGCTTCTTCTCAGCTTCGATATTCTGCTAAATGAGAAGGAGCAACTCAGCATGAAAAGAGGCCAATGCTGGCTGGAAAACAGGGCCTGAAACAGGTTGAGGTAACAGGGTGATTGACACCTTCATCTAGGAATAGCCCACATACCAAGACCAATTGGGAAGCAGAGCCTGGCAGAGTATGGGGCACCACAACTGCCAGTTGCCCAAATTCTTATACCCCTCACTTCCCTCTCTCCATAGCAGCACTATGTGGCTCTGGATCTCACTGACTCCTGTCCTTGGTCCTCCACCTCAGCAAGGCCCACTTCTCAGGGAACCTGGGAGGGTGAGTCCTCGAGACAATTACAGGAGGTGTAGGCGAGCTAGAGCTAATTGGCCTGCATGTGTAATGAGACTGAAAAGGAGACTGCTTCTCAATCAAGAACATCAGGTTGTCTGGAAGGAGATGTGTCAATGTCTAGGCATCCACCAAGAAACTGATTGGCAGGAAAATCTTTAATTGAGCTCTAACTGATATATTCTAGGAAACAGTGTACTTTATCTCCTATTTAAAAGATAAATTTTTGTCCTAGCTGGTTTGGCTCAGTGAATAGAGTGCTGCCTATGACTGAAAGATCCTTGGTTCTATTCTGGTCAAGGGCACATGCCCAGGTTGTGGTCTTGATCCCCAATGTGGGACATGCAGGAGGCAGCCGATCCAAGATTTTCTCATCATTGATGTTTCTATCTCTTTCTCACTTCCTTTCTGAAATCAATCTATAATAATAAAAGCATAATATGCAAAATGACCAAATGATGGAACAGCGACCTTCCAGATGACCACACTATGACATGCATTGGTGCCAGGCCAGCCAAAGCGGGTGCAATGCGATTGGTCAGCGGTCCCTGCCATCATCCCACGATCGCCCTGTAGAGAGAGGCCCAGGCCACCAGCTGGTGGGGCTATTCATGCCAGGGGGAGTGGAGGAGGCTCTGAGATTGCCCCAAAGAGGGAGGCCCTGGCCACCAGGCCACCCTCTGTGCAGAATCTATCACAGAGCCCTAGCCAGGTGGACGGGCCTCCCTCTACAGGATGATCGATCACAGGGCTCCATGATTGATGGTTCCCTCTATGTGTGTGTGTGTATGTGTATGAGTGGGGATTGATCTGGGGGCTCTGCAATCAATCACCCCACAGAGGGAGGCCCAGGCCACTGGCCAGCGATGCTGTGGCGAGTATGTGGGGCTGGCCAGCAATCGTGCTGCAGAGGGAGGCCCAGGCCAGCCAAGCAATCGTACCCCATGCTTATCACCTACAGAGGGAGGCAGCCAGCGGCAGGTGAGGGGGAGGGGGGAAGGCAGTGCCACACAGGTGGCAAGCAGTGGCAGTGGCAGGGGCAGGGCCAGCTCCCAGCAGCCTTGGAAAGGAAAACCCCAATAGGCCCTGATCACCGGCCAGGCCTAGGGATCCTATCTAAGGGGTCCTGGATTGTGAGAGGGTGCAGGCCAGGCTGAGGGACACATCCTCTCCCCCCCAACACAAACACACACACACAAATTTCGTGCACTGGGCCTCTAGTAAAAAAAATATATATATATATATATATTTTTTTTTTAAAATATATTTTATTGATATTTTACAGAGAGGAAGGGAGAGAGATAGAGAGCTAGAAACATCAATGAGAGAGAAACATCGACCAGCTGCCTCTTGCACACTCCCTACTGGGGATGGGCCCACAACCATGGTACATGCCCTTGACCGGAATTGAACCTGGGACCTTTCAGTCCGCAGACCGACGCTCTACCACTGAGCCAAACCGGCTTCAGCTAGTAAAAATATATTTTTAAAAAAGAGATATATTTTTTATGTAATAATTTATCTCCCAAATAGTAATAGCTAACATTTGGCATTTATATGTTCCAAAGACCTCATTCCTTTTACACCTACTGCCTCCTTGATTCCCCAGGAAGGCCCCATGAGGCAAGGCCCATACTTTGCCTATGGAAAAGGAGGTGAGGGGTCTTCTCAAGGACACACAACAGGAAATGCAAACTGGGAGAAGCCAGAGCAGGCTGTCAGGTTTTTCAAAACGTACCTGAACCATTGACAGCCCTGTCCCTGTGCAAGGAGCATCACAGAAACTTCCTGAAAAGCTGTCATCTTTCTTGTTTGTAAATGATCTCACCTTCCGTTCAACACAGACCCAAACACCAGAATTCCTAGGCTATGTCAATGGTTAGTTACATAATTCCCAGTGTTTCTTGGTACATATAGTTTTCTACAGATGTATAAAATATGGTCTGTACATCTGCCTTTTGAATAATTTTAAATTATATTCTTAGAATAAATATATTAAGTGTAGTAAGTTTTCCAAGTCTTAAGAAATGAATGCAGCTGAACTCCATAGTGAAAAAACACGCATTAAAAATGTCAGTGAATTAAAGTGCACGTCACTAATTTGACAAAAAAAATTATGTGTAAATCATGGGAAATTATTTTGCTGAAACACAGACATGTTCACCGTTAATCTAGCCCTAGATCTAAGCTGCATGTACAGGGACATGCAGGTATGAATTCCAGGAAGCAGAGTGCAAGCTCCTTTGGCTATTAATCTGATGAAGATGCCCACCTGTGCAGCAGATTCTCCAGTGAGCAGATTGACCTCTTCTGGTTTGGGGACCATGTACGTGGTCAGAGGACTAACCAGGTGCACCTGCTTCCCATCGTTCCAAGGCAGAATGCCAGCATGATGGAGGAAGATATAGGCATATAGTGTCCCATTATTCCTTGTTTTCTTTGGTACAGAAACATTAACTGTCCTAAAACAAGACAAATTACAATTTCAAACGTGTACACGTACACTCTGCATACACACACACACAGCAAAGAGGACTCAAATATCTTTATAACAACTAATTTTAGTTTAGAGTACTAAAAATGAAACCCATCTGCCTTTAACTGAGAGTCCTAGGCACAGAAGTTTATGATATTTCCTAAAAGCTTGAGCAGCTATAAAAAGCCTGCGTTTTCTGCCTCCATTTCCTGGCACTCAGAGAAGTCAGTTCACTTACAGGCAGTGGCCAATCCCAAATGTGCAAGGCCCCTGCCCACTGCACTGCCTCTGCAGCTCTCTGATGGGGCTGGCTGGCTAGAGGACATTCATTCCAGCACATGCTCCCATCACTCTATCTGATACCTCCCAGATGATGTAGAGGGAAAAGGTAGACTCTTGACAAGCACATCATTTTTTAAGTTGCGCTTGTTAAAATCTTAAGACCCTAGAGCCATAGTTAGATATGAAACACCTTTGGTTACAAAGAGACAAGTAGTTTGCTGTGGGAAACCGCATGTCATTCCCACTGCAACGTCCACTCCTTTAAAAACTCTCCCAAGCTGCCAAATGGTTTGGCTCAATGGATAGAGCGTCCGCCTGCGGACTGAAAGGTCCCGGGTTCGATTCCGGTCAAGGGCACGTACCTTGGTTGCGGGCACATCCCCAGTGGGGGTGTGCAAGAGGCAGCTGGTTGATGTTTCTCTCTCATCGACCTTTCTAACTCTCTATCCCTCTCAATTCCTCTCTGTGTAAAATCAATAAAATATATTTTAAAAATAAATAAATAAATAAAACTCTCCCTAGCTATTGCATGTCCCACAGCCATAGGATGCAGGTGTCCGCTGCTTCCTAAATGACAAACATATCTGCTATTTTTAAGTAAAACGAAAGTTTCACTATCTATAATACATATCACACATAGGTCTTCCATTAAAACTTTCTCAGTAGGTAATATTGCTTTTCTAAGGCAACCTTGTTACACACAGGAAGCTAACCTTTAAACAAATCTATACTTTTTTTATGTTAATCTTATCACTGGCACTTTGTCACATAACCACACCTTTCAAATTTGGACTCCACATCAAAGTCTTCCACGTTCAAGACAAGATCCACGTTGTTCTCAGCACCAAGTTTGGACCGTGTGGTGGTGTACACACTCAGCTGGAAGCGACGTCAAGAAAATTAGCTTGTCAAGGCCCTGGCCACAAAATACACATATCAAACAGCTACACAAAGGAGAGCAATCTGAAAGGTGAAAGGTTTCATTTTTAACTCCCAAAGGGACAAAACTCTGACCTGTGCAAGAATGGTTTTATCTGATGTGTCTGCTGCAAAAGAACAACTTGCTAAAGTGTGTAACTGACTGTATCAACAGAGCAGCGGTACACTGACTCTGGGTACCTTGTAATAGGGTGACAAGGGGCAGCGACTGGCGCCTGCTGGCGGCCACTATGCACGCAAAGTTTCTAGGATAATAGGGGTGGGGAGGTCAGGGATCAGCCAGGAGACCCTCAGCCCAGCTCCGTCCTGGCTCAGATAAGAAGCGACCCCTAGCCCACCGGACTCTGCCCAGCTCAGGTGAGACTAGCTCCTGGCCCTCGTCCGTCGCAGAGACCCCTCTCCCCAACCCGGGAACTCACCTGCAGCTTGGGCCTCTGAGCCAGGTAGGGCTGAATGCAGTTACCGTTGCCCGGGCACGGGCGGGTGTAGACGATGCCGTACATAACCCAGCAGGTGTGCACCACGTACACCACGAACACGCCCACCACAAGGCTGGTGAAGGAGCTGCGGCCGCTCCACATGGTGCCGTCGCCTCCGGGCGGAGCGTGGCGCCCTCCCGCCCCGGTCCGTGTCGCTGCCGCGGGGCCCGCGAGCCTCCCCCCCAGCGCCCGCTGGACGCTCTGGCCGTCGCCGCTCACGCGAGAGCCGCCGCGCGCCGCCGCCGCCGTCGGGGAACTAACGCGCCGGGCGCCACGGACCACCGGTCACCCTGCATATTCTTGCCGCGGGCCGTCTACCTGTCACCGCGGGATTCGCCGGCGCGCCGGCAGCTTCCGGGTCCTTTGCCTCCAGACGGAAGTGGGCGCGCCGCATGGCCACCTGGGAAACGTAGTCTAGTTCCCTGGCGCGCGTAGACACGCACAAGTTACGTCATTTTCCCCGCGTCGTCCTTCCTCAGCGCTTGGGGATTCAGGGTTCTCAGGCTTTTCTCAGGTCGGGGGCGGGTCTGGGAACCGGAGCAGGTGGACCAGGGGCGCCCAGAGATGGGAGGGTGCCATCACAGATCGCCAGCGGACCCTCGCCCTGGAACCACGCCATGCCGCAGGCGTGACCAAATCCACACAGGGGTGAAATCTTAACTTTTCAGGAAGCTGGATGGATTCTGTGCTGTTTCAGTCCTAAATCTGGAAACGTCAAAATAAAAGTTAAAGAAGTAGTAAATAGATTAAGAAAAATTAAATACTTGATTTCATGTTGGTTTTGTTGTTAGATAGGACAAGGGTCGCAAGGTCTGGGCGGTTCTAAATGTGGAAGTAAGAAACATCTAAACCTGTAGAGTTTTTATGAGTTTATTGGAGTCACATTGATTACAATTGCCAGGAATCAAAAGTTTACAGATTGAGAAAATGGCAATCTCACAGCTTGTTTTATACATTAGGATCAAAGGAGGAGACATAAAGGGGGTGGGTGGTTACATGAAGTCAAGGGGTGGTAGATGAAAGAGGTGAGAGAAAGGAAAGCAGGGGGAGCCTCTAAGATTGGATAAAAAGCAAAATAGAGAGACAAATACTTGTTTTACATCAGTATGTGGGCAATAAGATAACAATGACTGGTTCTGTGGTCGGTCTCTTGCTCTGGTGGGAGTTATACCCTCAAGGGTCTGGAAAAAGATGACTAACATTTCAAAGATATGTTATCTCAGTTGTAAAAAGACAAGCTCACTTTAAGGTAAGGATGACCTTTGTTAAGGAAGCTACCAGCCCCGTGACTCCCTGCTATGACTTGCTTTCAGTTAGGACATTTGTAAGTTCAGACCATCCTGCATCCTGTATGGTTACTTTCTGTCCCACCTTGCAGACCGCTCCCCCACCCTTCCCCCAGCTTTAGTCAGTGTGTGGCTCCTTTTCCTGTGCACATTACTAAATGTTAAAAGGTAGCACAGTATTTTGCAGACCTGCTGTAAACAGGATAAGCTTGATAGGGACCCAATCAGATATATGTAGCCTACTATGAGTAATTGACCAAATAGTATATATAAGCCAGTGATTTTTCAACCAGTGTGCTGCGAGAATTTTAAAATCATGCAGTATCTGACTGTTTAGCCAGGGGCACTGACTTCTTTTTCCTTAGACTGTTAAATAAAAAAGTGACAACAGCCAGCACAATAATAGCAGTCAGTGTGAATGTATCAAAATTATACCTATGTTTTTGTCAGATCAGCAAAAAATGTGTTTTTTTTTTGTGTGTGTGTGTGTTCCACAAAATTTTACTAATTAGTTTTTGTGCAACATGAGATGAAAAAGGTTGAAAAATAGCTGATACAAGCAATGGCTAGACCTCCCTAGGGGAGACAGAGCTTTAGGTGTGAATCCCTTTTCTTTTACTTGCTGCAAGTAAATAAAACTGTCTGGAGACAACCAAGTCTCCTTGAACAGAACAACCCACAACGTGAACCCTTGAGTTTGGTAACAGTTTTTTTTTTGTGTGTGTGTGTTTTTTTTTGTGTGTTTTTTTTTTGTGTGTGTGTGTTTTAATATAAACTCCATGGGGTGGGCACTGTTGAAGAAAATACAAATTAAGTGGAATAAAATGGTTCAGACCCCCTCTCAGAGGCTCAAAAGGAGCATACTCATTTAGGATTATGCCATCTTGATAAATTGGCTATTTTGGGATGCTAAACTGTCCTTTATCCTGGCGATATTATTTTCAATTCTACTTTCAGTAACAGAACTACTTCAGCTTTCTTTTTATGTATTTCCCTAGCATATTCTTTCATGATCTTTTACATTTTAATCTTTGTGTCTTTGCATTTGAAATGTTTCTTATAGGCAGTTTAGAGTTCTTGCTTTTTAAAAATTCTGGTTGACAATCTGTGCCATTTAATCTGGTGTTACATCATTTAAATTTAATGTAATTATAGTTTTTTATTTTTTGCTTTCTATTATTATTATATTATAATTAAACTAGAGGCCTGGTGCACAGATTCATGTACGGGTGGGATCCCTCAGTCTAGCCTTTGGGGATCTAGCTGAAACTGGCCCAGTGCACAGATTCGTCCAGGTGGGTGTCTGGCCTGTTTTGCCCAGTCTCAATCAGGGCCTGCTGGCCAGGGAGGAACTGAGGGAGGGCTCCAGGGTCTGTCCAGCCCATCTCACCCAGTCCTGATCAGCTGAACCCCAGCAGCAATCTAACCTATCAGTTGGAGTGTCTACTCCCTGGTGGTCAGTGTGTGTCTTAGCATCTGGTCAAACGATCAAATGAACAGTGGGACACTTAGCATATTAGGTTTTTATTATGTAGGATGATTTAAATGTATTTTTTGTTATAGGCCTCTGAGTGGGGTCTTTTTGAAAAAAAAATTTTTTTTTTTCCAGTTGTCAATATGTAGCTTTACATTATTAGGACAATCTACCTTCAAATCCTATTATATGTCACATAGGTTGCAACAACCTGAAACAGTCAAGTTTCATTTCTACTGTCCTGTTCCTTTTTTATTATTATACATTTCACGTCTATTATGCCATCAGCTCCATGATATATTGCTATTTTTTGCTTTGAACAGTCAATTATCTTAAATAAGTTAGAAATGAACAAATATGTTTAAAATGTAAACCTTTGGGGAAGGGGAGAGACACATCTATTAAGAAGGGCTACTAGTGACTAACTGCACTCGAATTAAAAACAAAACAAAAAAAACAGCCATTTCCACACAGGGGCCTCACACAGAAACTGCACTTCACAGAGAAGCCTACAGTGAACGGCCTGCCTGCACTGTGTTTCTGCTATCTGAGCCAGCCATTATGAAGGAATTCCTGGAATTCTATTTCAGCTGAGATTTAGTTGATAAGACTGAGGTTTTCTCCATCCAGTTGAAGCTGTGCAGCTTCAGCCAATCAGAGTGGCTCTGTTCTGACCAATCAGGCTGTGGGGATTTGGAATCCTCATTTGCATGACTGTGGGCCAATCAGGGACCACTTAAACCAGTTCTCCTCTGGCTAGGAGAGATGGAAGCCGTTTCCCTGGCTGAGATGAAACACTGAAGATGTCTTGCCAGAGCAGAGTGGAGCTGACCCGGGACGAAGTAGACCATAGAGGAGCAGAGTTATGTAGCTGGAGAAGGGCCTGGCTGGCCCCAGAGCTGTTCCACAGCTGTGCTGTATCACAATTGAGCTGTTTTATACTGAATAAAGTTTACTTTTTCCAAACTGGGGACTTCTGTTGGCGTTGAATTGGCATCAACAATCACAGTTGACAATATATATATTTACCTGCTCTTGGCTCTTTTTTGTATGTATCCTGGCTTTCAGCTAGTTTTTATTCCTTTAGCTTCAATTACTTCAGCATTTCCTTTTATGCAGATCTAATAGTGGTGAGTTCTGTCAACCATTGCTTATATGGAGAGGTTTTTAATTTGCTGTCATTTTTGAGAGATATTTTCACTAATTACTATTTACTGCACAGCATTTTCTCCAGGAAAAAAAAAAATGAATAAAAAACTCAAATGGCCCTAACCAGTTTGCTCAGTGGATAGAGTGTCAGCCTGCAGACTCAAGGGTCCCAGGTTTGATTCCAGTCAAGGACATGTACTTGGTTGCAGGCACATCCCCAGTAGGGGGTGTGCAGGAGGTAGCTGGTAGATGTTTCTCTCTCATCGATGTTTCTAATTCTCTATCCCTCTCCTTTCCTCTCTGTAAAAAAATCAAATATATATATATATATATATATATATATATATATATATATATATATATATATAGCTGGGGCTGTGAGGGAAGCCCAGATCCCAGGTGCCAGAGGGAAGCTGGTGCTGGCAGCCAGGGGAAGGAAGGCCTACTCCTGTGTGAATCTCATGCATTGGACCTCTAGTAATGGATAAGCTTGAACATACATGTTCTTGTATTTTTTACTTTTAGGATCTGCTGTCTGAGCAGCTTTCCTATATATACCACCGTGAACAGTAGTCCCTGTGCTGTACTCGACACGGCCAGGACTTAATTGATCTTATGCCTGAAAGGTCATTCCTTTGACCCCCTTCCTCCAATTCCTTTTGTCCCACCCCACACCTCTGGTAATGCAAATCTCTCTTTTTCTATGAGTTTGGGATTTTTAAGAAGATTATACATATAAGTGAAATCACATCCTGTTTGTTTTTCTCTGTCATTCCTTCTGTGTTTATGACCAACACTCACCTTATCCAACCTTGAGACTCATTATCCACAGAGCCTCCCTCGCAGAAGGGCTTGGTTTAATGTTCTACTGTTGCTGTCCTGAAATTGTTAACGAATTCTGAACAAGGGCCCCATGTTCTCATTTTGTACAGGGCCCGAAAATTATGCAAAATTATCCAATTCTGATTATCCAAAACATGTTTGCTCACTTGCTCAATTCTAGAAAACAAAATAACTCCAGGATTGCTATCTCATAGCTCTGTGCAAAACAAATTTCCTAACTAGGGCACATTATCTGTGTACAGTTCTACTTGTCTTCCCGCATATAGTCAAAATACTGTCATCCTGAGACCTGGGGTGGGGTCAGGTGTCCCTCTGTCTCATCCTGGCTGAACTGACACACCCCTGCACCA